AAGCGTGAGCGCACCGTGACCGCCCATCGAATGCCCCATGATCGACTGCTTGCCATCGATGATTGGCAAGTTGGCCGTCACGAGAGCCCGGCAACTCCTTCGTCACGTACGAATACATGTTGTAGTTTTCAGCCCACTTGGGCTCCTTAGCGTCCACATAAAACCCCGCGCCTGTGCAAGCGTGAGGACCTTTAATTGCATTGATACAAGTATACCCGTGCCAAAGTCCCAGTTATCACTGTCGCCTTCAATGCTGATGCCACGAGGACTACGATCGGAGACTGTGAGCGTAGGCTGCGACGATATCCATACCTCGTGTCGGGCGTAATAAGCGCAACGCCACGCTTCGCGGCCATGCGTTGGGCACCGCCCTTGATCTGCATGAGCTCTTCGTTGCATGTGAGGCCCGCCAGGTAATAGATCGCCGGGACTTTCGCAGCGTCGGTTGCCTCTTTCGGGAGGAAGACGCAGAACTGCATGGTCGTGCGCGTCATCGCGCTCTCATGGGAAAAATGCTTCACCACGCGGCGTCAAAGCACTTGGTCTGCTTGAGGAGCTTCAGAGCCATCTTCGTTGACCTTCGTCCGATTCAATTTTGAGGCCGTGAGCCAACGTGTCCGGATACTACCTGCACATCCGGCACTCGGGACCTTGAAGTTGCTGACCATACAAAAATCAAGTTAGCGCGATCTTGGCAATCTTGGTCGATGATACAAGCTGGAACGGCTACAAAATTTGTAGCCGTTCCAGCTTGTACAATTTAATTGTACCAGCTAGATCGCCGTCGACGGCGTCACATGCGGCGCCTTGTCAAGCTCGAAGCCCATGCCACCGTGACTGATGCGACTGCACAATGCGATCAAGCCGTAGACGACGCCTGCCGAGGCCCGCCGACAACTTCTACGATGCACCTGCTGCAATCCCAGCAATTGAGCTCCACCTGTCCAACGCCGTCTTACCCAAGTATACCGACGCTGTCTATAATACCAAGTGGCGCTCTACACAGTCTAGATTCGAGCCCATGTGCACAAGCCCAACAGGCTCGACCAAGCGCGCCTTTTTTGCCTCGCGTACGAGTACCGTATGAGACGCACCACCACTTCCTCATCGACCAATCGCGTCTTTTGCTCAGACCTACCACTACGACGTCCATTGACGATTGCCGTCAAGCCGGTGTACCCGGTATGTCGCTCAACTGCACTTGGCCCACAGCCTCGTTCAAGAGCCCGAGCTGCCTGCTCTTCGTCGGCTTCTCCGGCTCCTTGCCCAACACGAGTGGCCGCGACGTCAACTTCTCCCGCGGATCGCGCTCATGTTTCCGTCAGCCTAGATTACTGTCCTCAACCAAGTGTATGCTGCAAAGAAATTCCGACGGTATATTTAGCGTAGATTTATCTATTTTTAACCCTCTCAGGACGGGAAAGACTACCCCCGCTTCATCATCGACTACGACAGCATCAAATAGGTGTGGGCAGCGCTCAACGCGGTTACAGATCCCTTGGGCGTGGCCTTGCTGACGACGCTCTTGGACGAATATGCACTTGGACTACCACTTCTCGACGTACAAGACGGCCTACAGCATTCACGAAGCCGCGTTCAGATACCTCTGGCCAGACGATTGCGTCTTCCGCTCTGACCTACCAATGCCAAGACCATGGACGATTGCCGAGAAGACACCAAGAGTGGTTTATCAGCATATGTACCGCGGCCTCGCTCAGGACCCCCAGCAAACCAATCTCCGCGGGCTTCTAGCACAACACGTGTGGTCCCACCAACATTTGAGCAGTAAACAGTTCGCTGGCGGTGAAAGCGTTGTAGGGTAAGAGTCGTTGCAAATGCAAAGGACCATATATGCGGTGGTAGGCTCCAGCAGGATCAAGGGCGTTTGGAGATTCTTAGCAAGATCGCTCCTTCCGATGTTCGTTGTTGTCGAAACACGAGCTCGTGGTTGTCGTGCTGCAATTCGATGTTCTGGTGTGCACGGGAGTGTGTGACCCGTCGTAATTCTTACTGTCTTACCATACAGCAGTGACGCAAACTATTTGTTTGCGCTTAGCTCGAGCGGGACTTGCAAGCGCAAACAACTAATACCAGTGCATTCATTGTACGAGTCTGCCCGAACCAGTGCCCAGCGCGGTCGATACGCGTTTTTGCCCAAACACGCTTTTCCTTTAACGCGGAGCTCAGCAAGCAAGGTCGAGTTAACATGTAAGACCCTCTGTTGGTCACCTCTGACTTGAAGTCTCTCGTACCGCGACGCCTCACTCTCTGCAATAATCATTTGGACCTCGGTTGAAGTTGCGTTGGCGCCACTAAACCCATTTGACGTGAAATGGTGCTATTATGGTATATAGTGTACGAATATTTAAACACTAAATGCGATATCTCATCCTCCATCCACATCCACCACGTATATAGTATGCCAACGGGGCGATTGGGATTGGCCACGGTGATTGGCACCCACGGTCCTCAATTCGCTCGTTCCAGTACAGTCGACGCGACACCGCCAACGCACCCAGCCCAGGAGCCCGTTGAGTGGAGCGTCCCAGCTTTAGATACTTGCAATACAGTGTAATGTAGCCCGCACACTCGGTGTTTAAAGGAGCTGGAATGCTGCGGCGTTGCGACACCATCTGCCCCGAAGCAGAATTCAGCCGTGATGCCTATCATGCTCGTGTGCAATGATTGAGAGTACTATATAAGATAATTACCCTGGGCTCCCTTTTTATTCGGAAAAGGCAACCGTTTTGACCAATCAGATCGAAATTTGGGTGGCCTATCACCTGATCAGGCACGCGACAAGCCGGGATCGACGCGGGCCTTTCTACTATCGACCAGTCGATTGGAGCCGCCACTTCTCGACATCCATCGTCCTGCGCAGTCGCCGTCATGAGTATGCGCTGGCTATTGTCCGCGCTCGCTGCCGTCGCCGCCATGGACCCGTCGGCTAACCCGAACTGCTACCTCGTGCCGATTCTTGTGATCTCGCCGCACACGCCTCTTCCGGCCATGAACTGCGTGAACAAGCCTTTTCCGGCGGGTGACTGCATGAAGGAGGTCGTGCGTGCGACATTGACGACTGTGGACACGATCAAGACCCACGGGACGGAGTGGAACTGCCTCGGCGACGCTGACCACGTCGAGTACGCGTCCAGCGTCCACTACCGCGGCGACTCGACGCTGCGTCTCATCAAGCACCAAATGGCCATCAAGCTCGACACGCCGCAGTCGTTCTTAGGCCTTCCCGCCGACACGCCGTGGTCGCTCCACGGCCCTTACTTCGACGCGAGCTTGCTTCGCAACCACGTCGCTCACCACATCTTTCGGCAGACGGGACGTTACTCGCCCCGCACGCAGCACATTGCCCTTTACATCAAGAACGCCGCGGGCGTTCCCGAATACAAGGGGTTTTACCTCCTCCTCGAGACTGTGAGGTACGCTTGCCTTCAATCAACGTGCAATGGTCTCACAATGCTGTAGCTATGGCCCGAACCGTGTCGGTCTCGCTGAAAACACTCCCAACTGCTCCGCCTCGGAGCGCGCAAACGGTGGCTGGGCGTGGCTCTTTGACCCGCTTTCATACGGCGCGTACTCGCCCAACATTGTCAAGAATATGTACACGAACCAGTTTGGCGGCGGCCGCCCGCTCCTAACGTACCCCGCCGGCGAGACGACGTCGCAGGCGATGCGCGATGCTTTTGTCTCTCCCAACGGCTTTCTGCCCCAGTACCACAAGTATCTCTGGGAAGGCATGCTCACGCCCGATCGCCTCGAGGAGCACATTGACATTGGCTCGTTCGTCGATTACATGCTCCACACCGAGTGGAGCCTGAACCAAGACGCGTACTCGCGCAGCATGTACTACTTCAAGGATCGCGACCACCCAATCGAGGCAGGCCCGGTCTGGGACTTCAACCTCGCCTTTGGTGCCGGCGCCAAGGCTCATGCGCAAAACTGGCTCTTCCAGACGCACGAAGCGTGGAAGCGGCTCACGTGCAATTACAAGTTCACTTCTCTTCTCATCGCCCGCGTACGTACCGTTTGGATCTTGGAGATGAAGAGCTAACTGGTATCCATGGTAGTGGAAGGCCCTCCGTGCCGGTGTCTGGGCTGACGACAAGATCGAGGCGTTTGTGACGAACGCCCGCGCGCCCTTTGACAAGATGCTCACCAAGTGCCCCAAAAACCAGTGGATGTCCAGCCAACCGTCGTGCGCGCACGTAGCCCTGAGTACCCGCGGCTCGTACGCTGACCAAGTCAACGCGATGGTCGCCTCAACGCTCAACCGCGCCCGCTGGATGGACGCCCAAATTGAGAAGCTGTACCAGCCGCTGAACGCCCGCGTTTGCATGGGCGTCGGTCGCATTCCCAAGTTCAACTGCGGTCCCGATGGCAACGACGCCGGCTGCCTGAGCAACCCCAAGCCGTACTACGAGAACGTTAAGTTCCCGGCCATTCGGGGTGTGAACCACGCGAAGTGCGACGGGGAAGCGCCCAAGGAAGCGCTTCATGCCCCGTCTGTGGACCCGTGCTGGGTGACTGTTGGCAGTTATGGTCGCATGTGGTGGCTTACGCCAACCTGCAGCGGCTTTGGCTGGTGTGCGCAGGGCCCCGGTGCCAAGTGCCAGTGCACGGCCGGCCGCAAGACGTTCGACTGCTCGCCCAACCCACCGTCGCACTTGATTGCGATCACTGCGTCGTCGGAGGACTCAACCGCGATGAGCAACCCGCTTGTTTGGGTTGGCGCCGCCGCCGCGCTTACCGCCGTTGCCGTCATCATCGTGATCAAGCGCAAGCGAAACCCCAGTTACGAAACCTTGTAAACACCAAATTAACGTGTTTTTGTCTTTAATTTGTTAATTTGCCCTCAAGTGGTCAACATTTTACACAATAGTAACGTTAAATGGAGTATACGTCGTAGCAACGTCGGAACGTCAAGAAAGGTTATAGATACAAAACTAGTATTTGTATAGCCCCAGCTGGTATAGCCCTGGCATTCACGGCATCAGCGTCATTGAAACAGAACGCTGACGGCCATGTCCTCTCAAGTCAATTTGCAGCCCATAGAGCATAGGACGTCGCCGAGCTGCGTCATCTTGAACTTGGCGAGCAGCGCCTTGATCACCGGCGCAGTGTGCTTGTCGTCGCCGAGGATGAGCAGGTCGTCGACGTAGACCGTAACGAAAACGACATCGCGGTTGCCATTTCCTCCCACAGTTTTCGTGTAGAGGCCGCGATCCTTCTAGTTGCGCTTGAACCGAGGCTCACGAGGAATTCGTGCAACATCGAGTTCCACTCGTGAGGCGCTTGGCGCAGGCCGTAAATCGTCATGATGAGCAGGCACATGAGGCGTTGGACGTGCTTGGTAAAGCCTTCCGGCTGCTCCATGTAGGCGAGTTGACCCTTCTTGAGAGCGGCGTTGAGAAACGCCATGACAAAGTCGTATTGACGCAGTTTCCATCCACACAAGGCCGCGTAGAGCAGAATAGCGCGCAAGGTCTTGAAGCGAATGGCCGACTCGTACGTCTCGTCGTAGTCGAGTCCAAAGATCCGCTCAAAGCCCTTGATCACCCTTGTATCGCAGGTTGCCGTCGCGATCGACCTTGAGCTTGAAGTGTCATCGACAATGGCCTATATTGATCAGTGCGAACTATTCGTTTATCACGCAACTTCTATATCTGTCTACACTTGAACCAATGGACTGGTGGTACATGCAGTCATTGGGACCATCCAATGGTCCGAGAGAGAGAGAGCGATCCATCGTCCATCCATCATACTGCAATAGTTACAACATATACACATGCTAGAAAACCGTCGTCTTTGTCGGCAAGGAAGCCACAGTAAAAAGGGTTTAGCAGTCAGCCTAGGCACAAAGATATCGTGAGCTCCATGATATCATTCCGAAAAAGGTGAAGTACCACACGACGGCGCTTAGGCTTCTTGATGTCGTCGCTCATGATGTTCTTTAGGCGCAGCATGCTTGCCGACGCAACGGGCGTCGTTGCGGGGCTGGTTGTGTCATTATCGGCCTGCGTCGGTACCATGTTTTCATCGTCATTGTTCAAAATGAGCTGCATCGCCGAGCTCCGGCGCTGGAGCGGCGGGTGCGCGATCGACTTGGGCGACGGGTCTTGTGGAATAAGTGCAGGAACAACCATCGATACGTCGATCGGCGTCACATCCGCGACCGTTTTCGCTTCGACAATGATGCGGCGGTTCGTGCGCGACGTTCGCGTCTCGTTGTTGCGCCGATAGGAGAGCAAAGTGAACGCCGGTGACTGCACTGACGCAATCACACGCAAGTCCTGAGTGAACGCGCTGTCGTCGCCCGGAAGCCGCATAAACATATAGCCCTAAGACCACACGTAAAGGACATCAAAATCGGAAGCGCGACGTACACGCCACACGTGGCGCGTGCTGCGGCTTTCCTTGCTCGCGCTGGCGGTCCAGTGGTACGGCCAGCCGACCTTGACACCGTCGTTGAAGTTGAAGACGAGCGACGTCTAGACATTGGTGGTAAAGCAAGGTACACGAATAATAGACTTTGGAATAAGACACGCACGGGGTAGTATGTGGACGGCGGAAGGAGGACGCCAGGGACCCACTCTCCGCCACTCTCGTGCTCGGCCGTGAGACTGGCGTGCGACCGGACATCCCCCATTCTGAGCTCCGGCTCATTGAGGCGTTCGACGCGCGCAAAGGCTACGAACGAGTACGCAGGCACTTTGTTGAGCTGGGGCCCCGCGAGAGCAAACGAGATTTTCCCGCCACAGCTGCAGTGTACGAGGTGTCCGGGGCAGCAGTGTGGGAAACAGCGCAGCTCCTACAGAGTATTGGGTAGCACCTTGCACGTTGGGGAGGTGTGTAACGGTACTTTGCGCCCTTCCGTCTTGTTGCAACTACCACAAGAATGAGAAACGACGGTAGATATTCCACGGCGCACCGAATGTAGGTGTCCTTGAATGTCGACTCACTCGTGCACGCACATTTTAAGAACTCAAGACGGTAGCCGTCGTCAATCGAGTCGTACTGGATCGTGGCTAGATAAGAAGAGTTTGTGAGCCAGAGCTCCGAATGTTTCCGAAGACGATGTAGTCGTACTGCCGTCGTTGGGGTCCCCAAGATCGCTGCTGCTTAAAGCGCGACGGTACGATGAGAGCGTGAAGGGCGTCGACTGAGCGACGCCGATAACACGCAGCACCTTCTGTGGCTCGTACTGGTAGACCATGAAGAGGTAGGCCTTGAAGACGTGCTTGGTATTGCGTAGGACCTTGCTGGCCCCGCCTTTCCACGCGTATTGCCACTGATCCTCGTGTGGCGACGGGTTAATCTGGTACACGAGCGTCCCGCAGTCCTCCTACGCAACGTTTGTCGGCGGCAGCGGAGCAAGCGAGTCGTACTTCTGTGTTGTTCTCTTTGTATTGAAGCTTTCCTGGAAGCCATTCGGATGCATCTTCGCTATCCTTGATGCGGCTGAAGCGCGCGAGGTCGGCGGATGACACAAGTTGCCCAACGTCGAGGGCGCCCTCGAGACAACGTTCGAAACGGCAGTAGGACTCGAATGCCATGGACTCAAAGCGCGAGAAGTTGCCGCCAACTTGCATCGCAAGCGACGTGCCGCAGGCATTTATGGTCAAGTGTGTCGGGCAGCAGTGCGGAAAGCACCTAGAATGTTTCTATAGACTGTTTGCAAACATGAGCTATTGGTACCTACCGAATCGCCTGTGTGCGAAGCAGAGGTGGTGAGCCGTGAGATTTGGCGAGATAATAGAGAGTTGAGAGTTAGATTGATACCTTTTGGCCGTTGGGTTTGTTGGTCCTACGCCGATATAAGCCAACGGTAGTCGGCTGGAGGCGCGTACCGGATGTAGCTGTCGTGGAAGAGCGGACCCTCGCACTGCGTGCACGCGGCGAACGTGCAGAAGACGCGGTCTTCGATCGGCTTGGGCGCCTCGAACTCGGCCATCGATCAAGAGTGTCCACAATCAATTGCAAAACTCCTCCCACTAAAGTCAGACCAGCTGCGACCTGCAGCAATGTATATTTGCATTTTTGACAGACAATATAGAATATAAGAGGTATTGCATGCCACAGGGGTCATACAAACCCCAAATGCAGGACGTCGATGAGCTGTAAATTTCGTCGGCGGCTACTGCCAGCTGGTGCCATGGTCCGATGGGTGTTAAGACGACAGCGAAGACGCCGCCTGCGCATGTTCTTCGCCTTGGTTCCTGCAGCATCGAGTTATCCATGCGATACAGCCGCCAGTCTCGTGTAAAGGGCACGGTAGGCGAGAGTGTGCTTGAGCATAAGCGAATATCGCAACCGATTTGCTAGAGACTGAGCAAGCGATATTAGTACATGGTACAATGGGAGGAAGCGGGCGATGCGCGCCAGTGGTCACACAAGCAACTCGTTGAACGCAAGCGAAGCGCGCATCTGCACGCAAATTCCAACTTGTGCCCACGCCCAAGCTGATTGGTCCGGAGCCAACTGATATGAGTTTGCGCCGCATATCTTGCAATTTGTATGAATTCTACGTATTCGTGTCACGTGTCAACCTGTCTCTTCAAAGAATTGACAGCGACCGGGAGGATTTTGCAATGCACCCGCGCTACGAACAGCAAGAGCCGGCTAGTGCGCCAGGGTAAATCCCGCCTGTACCGGGTATACGTCTGGTACAGTACTTGATTCCATGCATTCACATTTTCGATGCCCACTGGGTCGAGCTCGACAAACGGTGCGTGAAGTCTTTTTATTTATTGGCGCATCACCCTGCCTATCTTGTCCAACTATCGCTGCCAAAGCCTGGTCGGCGAGACTGGTGATTTGTATGGTGGCGAGACTGGGCGCCTGTTCCGCGAACTGCCCTGCATGGCTTCTTCAACCGTAAGCCGCAGTCGACTGAACTGCTCTGCGAACATTTACTTGCACCCACTCAAAGCGGATTCGATTGTATAGCAGAACCAATATAATAAAAATAAGGGCGAGTGGGAGCACTCGATTGACGTCAGCACGGATCCTCTTCCCGCAGAGTGACGGCATGATCGCACGTGTGTGTCAGCGCGCTACCTCGTGCAAGATCAAACATGCGAACAAAGAACGAACGAACGATGGGCTGTCGACGATACGTACCTGTACAGCTCGGAAATGGATAGAACGTCTTATCACTTCCAGGGTGACGATCAACTGACTGCCGTGCGTTCGTCCAAATGGCAAAATTGCCATGATGAGCTGCCCACTAGTATTGTACTAGTACAACGTAGCAAGGTGCACCTGGTGTCCTACCGTCGATCAAATTGGTATCTTCATTGAAGTCTTGGCCAACAAAATGCCGTAGATCAGAGTAAGAGGAAGAATATAGAACTCGCGCACCCGCTCCTGCATACTGTACCGGTACAGTAGCATTCTTTCGTCAGGATGTTTGAAAACGTCAAATTAGCTTGTTGGGGTTTTGAAGAAATGGGTTTACCGTACTGTTGTACGATCCTGGGCGGCATGAGCTGTACCAGGGTAATCCATACCGGTATACGATCCGTAGTCTTAAAAAGTTGGGCGTTGAGGGGTCAATCGGACAAGCAACGCGGGTCAACCAGGCTTCTGTCGTTCGAGCTGAGGTGTCGCTGCATGGACAAGTTCACTTCTGGTCCACAGGCAATATCAGGTGCAATATGTTCATCGATTGGTCTAAAACATGCGACACCACTCATGCGATTGGTCCACGCCATCAGTTTTGAGGAATTGCTTGTTCAGGGACTTCTCAACACTTCTCAACGATATTTGGACAATTTGGCCTGAGAAAAGGAGTTTACCTATTCTTAGGCCAAACCCATTGACCAAACCTAGGATATGCACTGTCAGCTTCAACACCAAACGCGCCCGCCAAAACGCGTTGTAAGTGTATGGCATGAGCGTACTAATACCTGGTATTTCGCGTCCTCTTCGTTGCTAAAAAGACGTTGCATGTGTAGAGACTAGCTATTCCCTTATTCGCTAGCCTGGCCGTGGCTGCGCAGCACCCTGCTCTTCAGTAGTCGCCCGGATGCACGTGCGGCCGCGAGCGAGACCATGGCGACAAGCTCTGTAAAATCCGTCCAGGCGTCGCAATCGGCGGCAGAGCTGCGCAACTCATCAAGGTCCTCGAGAGACGCCAGCGACCGAGGCGGCGTCAACGACTGGAGGTTGTTGTTGAAATGGGTCAATTATTTTTTAATGAGCAGAGCTCGCTGGAAGAAATTGTCTCATCTTGGCCTGTTGTTGGAGCAGCTGATTACGTCATCATGTGTTCTGGGTGACACTTGCGGAAGTGTCCTGGACCCACATGGTTCGACCCTTTTCGGGTACATCGCGCGACGCAGGGAGGAGGGGGCGGAGAACTGAAAAATGCGCGCGCGCAGCCGGGCTCGAACCGGCGACCTTCGGGATGCGAAGCAGAAACTTTACCAACTGACCTGGGGCGCCCCCCCTCAACGACTGGAGGTCGTGGAGCCGAACGATCGGCAACGTGATCTTGG